GTACAAATTTGTAGCATAACAATGTATAATATAACAAAATGATCAATATACTATATCAATATACTATTTGTAGTGCAGAAACAGGTCACATGGTCATTAAATGAGTTACTGTGCATTCAAGAGAATGGATTATTCTATTAGGTAATGTAATTAAAAAAAAACATAGTTTGATAGGGTCACAGGTTACACTTTTATGAAATACAGTTATTCAATATTTATATAGTTGTAGTGAAATTATAAACACGAAATCAGAATTCAATTTCTGTTGAATCCTTTCAAATGTTTGATAGAAATGCTTAGTTGACAAGAGAATATGTCCTGGAGGACGGAGGCAATTATAAATTTTGATTGCTTACTAGTAGTACGAGGACAATGGTACGGAAATGACCCCATCTAAACATCATAGACCTAAGACAGGCCGATATTGACACCAGCCAATCCACTGATTATGATTCCGACGTGCAAGAAGAATCAAATATTTATGGAGATTTCAACAAAATAAGCTGAATCTAAGATGCAATTATCGGCCAGCTGCGACAGGGCTACAAATACCACTAGTTTAAAACACCTGATATGTAAATCTAACCAAATACAAAAGTTGTCAGCACAACTATTTTTATATCCTACATCACAAAGTGCTTATATACAAGAAGATCACGGAATTTAGAGATAATTTCCTCATTTATGCTCAAGAAATGTGTAAATATTTAATATCTAATAACATTACCAGCAAAGGACTGTAACTTTGCCTACTGTAAATATTTCTTCTGCAACTTGTTCAACAGCTGACCAACTACTTTTGCCTAATCCCCTGTGTCAGTGACATACCTCCGTCTACAGAACTGAATTTACATCATTGCTAAGTTAATATGATTGCATTTACTGTGTAACCAGCTCATTACTACTGTACCTAATTGCTTAGATACCAGACCTTGGGGGCCCGGTCCCCAAAAGCATTGTGCCTGTAAAACCACTAATATTATAATACTTGTTTTCTGAATTATTATTAATATGTGAGTAAATTACCTGCTTGAGGTTTACAGGGTATTACCTGAATTATTACAGGCAAGTAATTTGAGTGAGATAAGTGGGACTAATTCACAGTCCCTCGATGCCCACTTCACCACTCACACGAAAAACTAGACCTGGAGTTTACCTGGAGAGAGTTCCGGGGGCTACCCTCCCCTTCCTTGGATCAAACATGGTTATCTCTCACTCCTTTGTAGCTATATGACCCCTATGAACTTAGCAGCTCCCCACGAATGCAATAATAGTTTTAGCTTACGTAAGTAAGTAAGTTTATTGAGGTATACACAAATACACTTACACAAATTATCATACATAGCAGCATATCTGTAAGGAACCTGGGATAACCCAAAAATGTCAGACAGAGTGATATATTTGCACTGGGGCCCTTTTAATACCTTATTATTATACTATAAAGGAGATATACTACGAATGAGGTAAAATGAGTTAATTATATTTACATGTGCGTTAGCAATAAAAATAAAATAAAAAATCATTCTCCTCCCTTTCTGTCACTACATTCATTGGGTACCTTTTGGCTCTCTTCTTGAACTGGTTCATGCTATGACTGGCTTTGACATGTGCAGGCAGTCTGTTCCATTCCTTTATTGCTGTACAAAAAAAGGTGATAAATTAGACAGATGTGCAACACTTGGGTATCTTTATTGAGGAAACGTTTCGCCACACAGTGGGTTCATCAGTCCATAGAAAGGAGAATGGTGAAGAGCAGGAGGAGTTTGAGGTAATCAGTCCCTCAGCCTTGAGTCGATATAGTCAGTCCATCAATCTTGAAAAGAATACAGCATATTTGCGAAGAAGTGGCTTATATGCTGTAGGCAGGAGAGGTGCAGCAGTCGTGGGTGGTATCACATTTGACCAATGTGGAAGTAGGTCGTGCCCAAGTGTTAGGCAAGTGAAGAATTTCCTGTATTAAGATCCCAAGATGTTGCTGTGTTCTCTGAGCCATTCATCTACGATAAAAGGCGTTTGAAGCCTGGCCACTGACTGTGAGTACTACAAAGTTATGTTCTCTCTCCCTAGTTCTACGATTGCTTTGGTTCCCAACCTTGACAGAATTAACCATACCACGGGTGGGATTAGAACCCGCGATCAGAGACTCTCTGATCGCGGGTTCTAACCCCACCCGTGGTATGGTTTGTTTGCAATCGTGAAATTACGATTTCGTGAGTCATCTTGACAGAATTGGCAGCAAGATATTCTAGACATTATTTGTGAGCAATTTTATTGACTTGATTTAACTTCAGTTGTTTTACTCTGTCTTCAACATTCAGCATGTCCAGTTGTTGTAATTCATCCTGGCCTACATGTTCTCTTGGACCAGGTCCAGGATGAATCTTACCGTTTTGTTTTTGGTGATTTGCAGTCTATCTTTCAGTGTTTTTGTCAAGACAGAGTACCATTAAGAACAAGCGTAGTCCATATGACATTGTATAAGGGCTAGACATGGGTTCCTGCGAGTCTCAGTTGGTAGACACTCTGCTTGTCTGTATAGGAACTTCAGTCTGGCATTCGCTCTCTTAACTACGCTGTTCCTTATCAATTCTCCTGACAAGCATGGGTCAAAGGGGATTCCCAGATATTTTACTGAGGAAACTGAAGTGATGGGTTCCCCATTACACCGGACATTAAAATTACTTGCTCTTCTCAGTTTATGTTTCGTGCCGAAGAGTATGGCTTTCGTTTTCCCGAGGTGTAACGATAGTTTGTTGTCTACTAACTATTTGCTGCAGGACTCCAGTTCTAGTGTTATTACATTAGTTTCATCTTGTGGGGTCTATACCTGACACTAGCAGAGCACTGTTATCCGCATACAGTAAGAATTTGCATTTGACACTGATGGGCATGTCGTTTACATAACATAGGAATAATAAGGGACCCAGAATACTACCCTGGAGAACTTCACATGTTTTCGGCAGGGGTTCTGATTCTGTTTTGTTGATTTTGACAATTTGTTTCCTGTTGTTAAGATAGGATTTAACCGGTCTACGGAACCTATGACGATAGCCTGAAGTTTCTTAAATAATATATTGTGGTTGACAGTATCGAAGGCCTTTTGCATGTCTAAGGTTACCATTCCTATGAGGTTCCCTATTGACATTTCAGTTCTCATGTAATCCATCAGATTAATTAAGGAAGTGTCGGTTGAATAAGATCTCCTAAAACCTGATTGGTAACTATAAAGAATGCTGTTGTCATTAAGATACTTAAGTACTTGACAGTACATCGCCCTCTCTTGAATTTTGGATATTACAAGGAGTATACTAACAGGCCTATAGTTGCTAACATTAGACCTACTATTTTTCTTGAAGACAGGAAACAGGTATCGATGAAAGTTAGTCGGATGTTGGGAGTTGCATCCAAGGAAAGAAGGTCTCAAAAGAAATAAGCAACACTGATTTTCTTGATGCTTATTTCTTATCTTATTGCCTTCCTAATCTTAAGTTAATAATAAAGTTTGCCCGAAATGCTCCGCATACAAAGGGGCTTTTGGAATGTACACCCAACTATTATATTCCTCTGTACAATGGCCTGGTGGCTAAAGCTCCCGCTTCACACACGGAGGGCCCGGGTTCGATTCCCGGCGGGTGGAAACATTTCGACACGTTTCCTTACACCTGTTGTCCTGTTCACCTAGCAGCAAATAGGTACCTGGGTGTTAGTCGACTGGTGTGGGTCGCATCCTGGGGGACAAGATTGAGGACCCCAATGGAAATAAGTTAGACAGTCCTCGATGACGCACTGACTTTCTTGGGTTATCCTGGGTGGCTAACCCTCCGGGGTTAAAAATCCGAACGAAATCTTATCTTATCTTATCTTAAAATAAACATCTTAATCTTAACCTTTCCAAAGAAAGTTAGCCTTGACAAAATAATAAGAAAATGGAGCATAACCAAAGAAAATGGTGATTGGAAATCTAATGGATGACTCATGTTTGAATGCTCTGAGAGACTGTATATATAAATGAGTACGATAACTACAACTTTCTCGTATTATAATTGTTTGCGATTAAGCTGGGCATGGCAAAACTTTGTTTATCCCTCTTTAAGTTGTATGTCATATTTGCCCGAGGCTGAATAAAAATTGCTTATATAAGGGGATTTATTTAAGAAGCAGACAGTCCATCAGAATATACTGTTAGAGTTAGTTTAGCATGTTTATTATGCACCCCCCATACCCATCCTGTGGGTATATTGTTGGATAATGTAGATTTTAACAATTAGATTAAGGGGTACTCATCTATTTGTTTTACCCATTTGTTTGTTCTTAATTTCTTGTCAACGTATTATTTACGTATTTTGAAAATTTATTATTCAGCTGGCAGCAATATAGACGTCGTTGCCAAGAAAGCCTGAAAGATGCGATATAAATACATATAAATTCACATTTTTAGAGGAAAACGGTGAATATAATATTAATGGAACTCGATGTGGAAGTTGCTCTAAGGTCAGTAAGGTACGATGACAGGCTAGTAAGGTATATTCACTCCCGACGGATACTTTATTATTATATAGAAGTACATGCATCTGGTACAGTACATGAGATGTTCTACTCAGTGAGTAGAAGAAATAACTGGGTCTGTATGTCCAGTGTGGACTTTATTGCTCAGTTTGGTGTTTAAATTATCTAGTACCTGGAAGCTGCTTGCACGGAGTCACGTGTGCATTATGTGGCATCCTAAGCTACGTCATTCGACCAATGGCTAGGAGTTGCGTCATGCAGCTTTGCAACTATTGGCTCATAATGATGAAATCCTAGGCAGTTCTCTTGAACCTTCTACACTGTTGCATTTCGAAAATATATCACTTAATTTTATAAAAAAAAACACTATAGTAATAACTAACAAACTGATTTTTCGTAATTAGCCACTACTTGCAAAGTAAATTCAGTAGAAGTTAGCAAGGATATTGGAGGAAGACCTAAAATGGTATTGATCTGCGCAAGGCGTGCTGCGGTATTGACTCTATAAGACCAGAGGTGGGTGCAGAGGCGGCATTTACAACCACGTGGTAGCTGTGAGCACACGCGCTGTGATCGAGTTCTTCTCGAGCGCACTTTGCACGTGCCCTTCTGAGGGACTTCACCTCATCCAGCTTTTGGCAATGGTCAAGAAAGTGCCGGCGAAACTAGTGAAGAAGTCCAAGAGACATGGTATTCCTCGCGACGAGCTGGTGAGTACGATGGGTGTGGGCGGGCGGCGGTAGGTGGTCAGTGTCCTGGGAGTAGACTAGTAGAGACTAGGCTGGGGGAATGTGCTCTGTAATGACGCGGCGTCCCGTCCCAGGTCACCGTCAAGTCCGACCTCATTTTGTTGGCGCCAGAGTTCGAGGACATCGAGGAAAAGAGGCTGGAAGGACCCGCATGGACGCGGCGGGGCCAGCGTGACCCGGAGGACTCGCTTAAAGGTCAGTTGTGATATTAGACATGGCTCTGTAGGGGTCGTGACCTGCTCAGTGGTCTTGCTTGCTCGGTGAGAGAGCATGACCCGCTCACTGAGAAGTCTTTACCTGCTTAGGAAGGTAGGCTGAGTGATGTCAGAGGGAAATCCAAGTAATTGAGGCAAGGTAGGTTATGATATGGTAAGGAGAGGGTAGGTATAAGTTAAGAGTTAGGACATAACCTGCAGAGGTAAGGTAGGTTAAGAGGTTTTTCAGGAGGGTGGATACGTGCTAAGTGCTTGGACCATGGCCAGCTGAGGTAAGGTAGGTTGAGAGGTGCTGCTCCCAAACTTCACATGCTTTACAGGTTTGTACTTGGTGATGTGAGCAGCATTATCTCTACCTCCTTCCTTGCTACCAGTCGGTATGTGTGAAAGACGTACAGCATATGTGCAAGTGGTATGATGATCTCAAAAAATGTGGAAAAGGATACTTGTGTACTGATTAAAGCTGAGGAAACCACTCGTGGCGAAACGTTTCTTTTAACATGTGTTTTGAAGTGCGCAAGTCTCAATTTCCATATACGTATACTGGTGGACACCTGTCACACCTGCTGTGTAAACATCTGTCATACCCACTGATGCGTAGATATCTGTCACACCTGGTACGTGGATACCTGTTGGTGAGTAGACACCTGTCTCACTGGTGTGCTTAGGCATCTGTCTCGCCCACTGGTGCATAGACACCTCTTACACATGCTGGTGCGTAGACATTTGTACCACCTGCTAGTGCTCAGACCTGTCACACCTGCTGGTGCATAGATTCTGACCCACATGCCGGTGCACAAACACCTGTCCCACCTGCTGGTTCATAGACACCTGTCACACATGCTGGATCATAGACACTTGTCATACATGCTGGTTCATACACTTGTCACGCCTGCTGGTTCACACACTTATTACACCTGTTGGTTCACAGATACTTGTCACACCTGCTAGTTCATACACTTGTCACACATGATGGTTCATAGATACTTATCATACTTGCTGGTTCATAGACACTTGTCACATCTGCTGGTTCATACACTTGTCACACCTGATGGTTCATACACTTGTCACACCTGATGGTTCATAAACACTTGACACACCTGCTGGTTCATACATTTGTCACACCTGCTGGTGCACAGACACCTGTCACACGTGCTGGTTCATAGACATCTGTCACATTGCTGGTTCATAGACACCTGTCACACCAGCCAGTTCATAGACACCTGTCACACATGCAGGTTCATAGACACCTGTCACACCTGCTGGTTTATAGACACCTGTCACACCTGCTTGTGCACAGACACCTGTCACACTTGCTGGTTCATAGACATCTGTCACACTTGCTGGTTCATAGACACCTGTCACATTGCTGGTTCACAGACACCTGTCACACCTGCTAGTTCATAGACGCCTGTCACACCTGCTGGTTCATAGACACCTGTCACACCTGGTTTATAGACACCTGTCACACCTGCTGGTTTATAGACACCTGTCACACCTGGTTTATAGACACCTGTCACACCTGCTGGTTCATAGACACCTGTCACAGATGTTGGTTCATATACCCTTGTCACACCTGCTGTTGCATAAACCCATGTCACACCTGCTTGTACACAGACAATTGTCACACCTGCTGGTGCACATACACCTGTCACACCTGCTGTTCATATACCCTTGTTACACCTGCTGCTGCTGCATAAACCCGTTACAATTGCTGGTTCACAGACACCTGTCACAGCTGCTGGTGCACAGACACCTGTCACAGCTGCTGGTGCACAGACACCTGTCACACCTGCTGTGCACAGACACCTGTCACACCTGCTGCTGCATAAACCCATGTCACACCTGCTTGTACACAGACAATTGTCACACCTGCTGGTGCACATACACCTGTCACACCTGCTGTTTATATACCCTTGTCACACCTGCTGCTGCTGCATAAACCCTTGTTACAATTGCTGGTTCACAGACACCTGTCGCAGCTGCTGGTGCATAGACACCTGTCACACCTGGTGCACAGACACCTGTCACACCTGCTGGTGCACAGACACCTGTCACACCTGCTGATGCACAGACACCTGTCACACCTGCTGGTGCACAGACACCTGTCACACCTACTGGTGCACAGACACCTGTCACACCTGCTGGTGCACAGACACCTGTTACACCTACTGGTGCACAGACACCTGTCACACCTGCTGGGGCACAGACACCTGTCACACCTGCTGGTGCACAGACACCTGTCACACCTGCTGGTGCACAGACACCTGTCACACCTGCTGGTGCACAGACACCTGTCACACCTGCTGGTGCACACACCTGTCACACCTGCTGGTGCACAGACACCTGTCACACCTGCTGGTGCACAGACACCTGTCACACCTGCTGGTGCACAGACACCTGTCACACCTGCTGGTGCACAGACACCTGTCACACCTACTGGTGCACAGACACCTGTCACACCTGCTGGTGCACAGACACCTGTCACACCTGCTGGTGCACAGACACCTGTCACACCTGCTGGTGCACAGACACCTGTCACACCTGCTGGTGCACAGACACCTGTCACACCTGCTGCTGCACAGACACCTGTCACACCTGCTGCTGCATAAACCCATGTCACACCTGCTTGTACACAGACAATTGTCACACCTGCTGGTGCACATACACCTGTCACACCTGCTGTTTATATACCCTTGTCACACCTGCTGCTGCTGCATAAACCCTTGTTACAATTGCTGGTTCACAGACACCTGTCACAGCTGCTGGTGCATAGACACCTGTCACACCTGGTGCACAGACACCTGTCACACCTGCTGGTGCACAGACACCTGTCACACCTGCTGATGCACAGACACCTGTCACACCTGCTGGTGCACAGACACCTGTCACACCTACTGGTGCACAGACACCTGTCACACCTGCTGGTGCACAGACACCTGTCACACCTGCTGGTGCACAGACACCTGTCACACCTGCTGGTGCACAGACACCTGTCACACCTGCTGGTGCACACACCTGTCACACCTGCTGGTGCACAGACACCTGTCACACCTGCTGGTGCACAGACACCTGTCACACCTGCTGGTGCACAGACACCTGTCACACCTGCTGGTGCACACACCTGTCACACCTGCTGGTGCACAGACACCTGTCACACCTGCTGGTGCACAGACACCTCTGTCACACACCTGCTGGTGCACACACCTGTCACACCTGCTGGTGCACAGACACCTGTCACACCTGCTGGTGCACAGACACCTGTCACACCTGCTGGTGCACAGACACCTGTCACACCTGCTGGTGCACAGACACCTGTCACACCTGCTGGTACATAAAATAATTTCGCCATTCCCTTGTGACTGGATTTATACATTAATTATTCACACGTTCATTTAATCTTACATTATTCAGTCTGATCCATGATGACCAAAATAAGAAAAGTCAAATAAACTTGAAAGATCATGGCAGATATCGTCTATGTTGTCTGTTATCTTAAAAACTAGATGTGATTATCGTACTGCCGACGATTATGAAGAAAAGACAGAATATGTTTTTACTGGGACAATGTTTCGCTCCGTTAAATAAAGCTCTGCACAAGGCGAAACGTTGTCTCAATAAAAGCTTATCCTGAAATCGACAATGAACTGAGTGATGGATTGGTTGTTGCGTGTGCAAACTTAGTTACTGGAGCATTGTTGGTCACGGGTGGGACTTACTGTATTAAGTCTGTATTACTGGACACGACAAGGTGGCCAAGGTTGCTACCACAACTGTGATGAAATAGTTACCAGCAGGGGAGGCTTTGTATGTATGATTATACGTATGTATATATATATATATATATACATATATATATATATATATATATATATATATATTATATATTATATATATATTATATATATATATATATATATATAATATATATATATATATATATATATATGTATATATTGTATATCGAGTCCTTGGACTGGGTTTCAATATTTTGTTAGCTAGGCAAGTCACAGTAGTGTCATTACATTAATGATATACAGTACGGACACGTGGATGGATAAGACACGTGCAAAATTTGGTATCTTTATTGACGAGACGTTTCGCCCTCGGCATACTTCTCCAGTTGAAATACAGAGGTGACATAAATACTAGAGACAATATAAGCAGTATAAAGGTAGATACGAGGTAGTCAATCACTCAGCCTTGGTAAGTATTTAGCTCCTTAGCTTCGATCACAGCTTCCTAACTGAACCCTTACAAAGGCTGAGGGACTGATCACCATATATCTACCCTACTATTTTTAACACAACGGCAGTTATCACCGACGTAGGGTGACCCAGAGAGAGGAAACACCGTCACCGTTATTCATTTAATTACTTGCAAGACGCTCCCCAACATTTCAGTTCAGATGTCCCTCTGGTGTCCCCAGTATTTATGTCTTCTCTGTATTTCAGTTGAACAAGCCTAGTGACCAGACGAAATGTCTCGTCAGTAAAGATACTAAACTGTTATACATGTATCTTACTCAAGTTACAATAATAATTAAATGTGTACAATGACGGGTTGAGTTACAAAAGTACTGACTTGGTAACACAATGACTTCATTGAGATGGACATTACCATGAAGCATATTCAGTAGGTTACAGAGAGACACTCGGGTGTTTTTAATGTCCACATTCATTCATACATAGCAGATCACTATTAAAAAAAAAAGACATGGCGTCAGTGTCATTGTCCCGCATTACGTAACTGGTCCAGTTTTTGTTAAATTATTATATGGGGTTTTGTACTCCATGTTTGTGTGCATACTTGTGTGCATACAAAAAAATGTCCGATATAATTTGTGGATATTTGTAATGTTTAAAACACCTGGGGGTTTAGCTTTTCCTTTAATCCTGGAGTTTACCTAGAGAGTTCCGGGGGTCAACGCCCCCCGCGGCCCGGTCTGAACCGGGCCCCTCCGGGGGGTCAGACCCTGAC